AGGCTGATCTTGACCTTCTGGCCTCAAGCAATCCTCCCACCACAACCTCCCAAAGTACTAGGATTATAGGCATGAGCCATCATCCTCAGCTTTAGATAAACTGAGGAAATGAAATGGAGAAGTCACCTATATAGATAGTGGACTAATTTGGTCCTCCAAATAACATAGTTGTCATTGTTTCATACCTGAATAAGAAGTTTTGGTTATGTGAAAACCAAACTGCAAATAGCTTTACATTAATTCACCTTTGGGTGGTAAAAGGTTCACTTCATTCTGAACTGACAAAGTACCTAAGCGTTAACTAACCAAAAGAATGGTTTATTATCTAACCATTAGGTGGAGTGCCATCATCTTTGTTCTTCATATAAAGTCTAAGGTGAAAATACCAATCTGCTAACCCTGTATGGTTTATGATTTCGTAATGTTAAAGCAGTTTGTATCAAAAACTAGAGGAGCTTTTTCAAGTGCTGTGTGGCAAATTCTGAATATCCCCACCGCAACTAAATTCCTGCCCTTCACTTTAGATGTGAGTTTAAAGTCCCAATAAAATATCCAGCTTATATAAAAGGCAGTAGAAAATCCAGGATTGGAGATTGGAGAGGCCTGTGCAGAGGTGAAGTCACATGAGTAAATGAACACACTGAGTGCAGAGAGAATAATTGAACCTTTAAGACATGTCTATACTTAAGGAGAAAATTAGGCATAGTTGCGTGCACCTGTAGTCCCAGCTACTCAGGCGGCTGAAGTAAGAGCATCACCTGATCCTGGGAGGTCAAGGCTGCAGTGAGCAGTGGTCACACCACTGCACTCCAGCCTGGACATCAGAATGAGACCCCCCATCTCAGGAAAAAAAAAAAAAAAAAGACAATACAACAAAGGAAAAAGAATCTCTTAAACTATAGATGTAAGCTCTTGAAGAAAGGCTCAATACCCTCTGCTTTCTTTGTATACTTCATTGTAAAGTACGTTTGTGGTTTGAATATATAGGAAATAAAGCCACAAGATATTGATAAGATTCTTCTCTACAGGATGAGGATGAAGAAGTATACAAGAGAGATTTCAGCGCTCCTACCCTGGAGGATCATTTCAACAAAACCATTCTTCCTAAAGTCATGCAGGTATGGGGAACCCTTAATAACATGAAAAGGTAATGTATTGATAGATGAGGTATGGTTTGGTGGTGTAACCATCATATATCTTCCCTCAGGTCAAGAACTTTGGACGCTCAGGTCGCACCAAATATACTCACCTTGTGGATCAAGATACCACCTCCTTCGACTCAGCTTGGGGCCAAGAGAGTGCCCAGAACACAAAGTTCTTCAAACAAAAGGCAGCTGGGGTACGAGATGTATTTGAGCGGCCATCTGCCAAGAAGCGGAAAACTACCTAGGGTCCAACTGCTTATTCTTCTAACTGTGGAACACAAGGGGAAATCTCAGCATATGGTCCTTGATTTGCTTTTTCATTACTTCCTTGGCCCTTGTATCCAGCTATTGGACCTACTTTTATAATTCTGATACTGGGTAGCCCAGACTTGGAAGGTGCTTTGTGAGGTTTGGACTCATGCTGAGAAACCCACAAGGAAAGCACTGTCCAGGTAGAATTAGAAGCTTTCCGCTTAAAACTATTTCTGAGAAATCTTAGGTTTTATCACTGCTATGGTTTCCCATATTTACTTGGGACTGTTCTGAGTTTTTTTCCAGCCCTTAGCTTGGGTTAGAAAAGTGGGCATGTCAGTGAACAATGCATTACTTCTACCTTAGGTTTAGGAGTAATATACCAGGAAATCTAAGCTCATAGAAACATGTTTTCCATTTTTGCTTGGGGTCCATTTTTCTACGTGTACATGCTTTTTGATCCATATATGTGTGCATGTCAAGAAATAAAAGAATCATACACCAAGGAGATTTTTAGCATGATACTGGAAGTGATGTCCAGGCTGACAAGCATTAATTACCTATTAAAGTAAAAGGTAACAGAATTGTCAGGGAGAAGGTGTTTCACATTTTGATCATTCCCTTTGATCTCAGAAACAAGCTCAGGAACTAGCCAGGCTTTAAACAGCATCTGGATTTGTGCCATGAGCAAACAGTTGAGTGTCCTATGATAAAAATAAATGTAAATAATTACTATGAGGTGGTAAACACATAAAGATGAACACACTATTGTGTGGGATACAATCTAAGAATTATCCTAGAGTCAGAATGAGGGTAAGGCCTTGAAATTCTTATGGAGAAATGTTTGTAACTGCCATTTAAGTATCCATACAATAGACTCTTAGGGGCCTTTACAGTTTTATAGTTGAGGAAACTAGTTCAACAGGTGTGACATGGTCAAAGCTGATTAACCTTTTTTTTTTTTTTTTTT